AAAGAGATATTGAACTATGAAGATACCTTAAAGGTATGAAGAGCCATGGTGGCGCAGTGGTTAGAATGCAATAACTCAGGCTACTTCTGCTGACTGCCAGCTGCCTGCAATTTGCCCGTTCAGATCCCACCAGGTTCAAGGTTGACTCGGCCTTCCATCCGAGGTGGGTAAAATGAGGACCCAGATTGTTGGGGGCAATATGGTGACTCTGTAAACCACTTAGAGAGGGCTGTAAAGTACTATTGAAGCAGTATATAAGTCTAAGTGCTATTGCTCTTAAATGCCATCAATTATTATAAATTACAGTTATTTCTGTTTTAAAACATACTGGCTCCATTTTGAAAGCCAAGAAATGAAACTTGGAATCTTAGTAGTCTTCTTGTAACTGGGACCAGCCCTTCTCCAGGTTAAACACATCCACAGTGACAGTCACTGCCTTCAGAATGGGGGCAGTGATTAGAGGTTTTTCAACTTGATTGTTTCCTCAGGTATATTTACAGTAGGCATGAATAGGCTTTTTATTTTTATTGGGTAGCTGTGTATACTTTTTAACTTCTCTATCTTTAATCCATGACTGTATATTTTAATAAACCAAGGGTGAGTGATTACAAATAACCGTTGACTTATGATCACAATCGAACCCAAAATTTCTAAGTGAGACATTTGTTAAGCAATTTTCCCCATTTTCTTGCCACAGTTAAGTTAGAATCATGGCTTCCTCATTGACTTTGCTTTGTCAGAAGATTGCAAAAGAAGATCACATGATCCCGGGACTCTGCAACTGTTATAAATATGAGTCAGGTGCCAAGTGTTCGAATTTTGATCATGTGACCATAGGGATGCTGCAACTGTCATAAGTGTAAAAACCGATGATGTTACTTTTTCAGTGCTGTTGTAACTTCCAAAGGTCACGATATAAACTGTTGTCAATCAAGGATTACCTATAATACTTTGCCTCTGCTAAGGTGCATGGAATGAGAATAGGGGTCTGATCACCTGATTCCCTTGCCATTTTATAACCAGTGACTGTCACTTCAGATACCCCTGCCTCGGACCTCCCTCGGTTCAATATATGTATCTAAATTTTTGTTTACAATGCTGATTTTCGGCAGCAGGAATATAAACTTTTAAGTGCGTGTTTCCTTTGATGATTGAACTTAAAATATTCGCATAAATAATAATAAACTATAAATAAATACATATAATAATAAATATATATAATAATAAATAATAAACCCTAACAAATTGGGGACTTCAACACAACATTTTATTCAAATTGTAGGCCATTTCATCACTGATACCTAAATTGCAGGGATGAATTTTTGCTGTATACATTTGATTTATGCTGGAATTGAACAGAGTAGATTGCTCTTTAGGGGTTCATCCAGCTAGCCCAGCTATGGTCCTTTTCGAGAAATTCTATTCGTCTTAACCTATTGTTCATTGTATCAACAGGTGATGTTTAAGTATCAACGATTTGTTTAGTAATAGTGTCCATTGGCTGCTCCAATCTGTATAGATGTTCTAAGCACAATAAATTAAAAACCATTAAAATGAACTAAACGTGGTGGTTGACCAGATACAACTAGGGGCCGAAAGCACACTGAAATAATAATACTCATTTATTCACTTTCACAGAGACTTTGGGACATTCATATATAATTCAAGAGAAAGATTTTTTGGTACAGCAGAAGCTACCCCTGAAAAGACCTGTCACCTGCTCTACCACCCATGTGCCTTAGCAGGAGGTGGGGCTGAAAATTGGACAGGTTAATTCTGTTTTGGAGATGGTTGCCTTGTGTATCTTAGTGCTGCACTAATTCTTTATTGTGTTATTTGTATCTATAATGCTGTTTCCCTCTCCCTCCCTCTCTATCTATCTATCTATCTATCTATCTATCTATCTATCTATCTATCTATCT